TACAGGAGGCGCAGTGCAGGGTGCAGCATGCCTATTTCAAATTAACTCACACCAAAAAATAATGAGCAGCAAGTTTATATTCTCAGTAAATTAAGAGAAATGCTTAGGTAAAATGAGGCTTGATATGCATGGAAATTATTTATTATACTTTCTTTTGTGCTCATGCCCTCAAAGATGAAGATATTGGTATAAAATTATTAATATTTATAGCATATTAGCATAAATACCCACAGCAGCTATGCCTGAAAACATCCTATTTTTAACCTGGGTAAAATCTGTTGAAGGTTGAGGGGTTTTTTTGGCTTGTGTGTGGCGGGCAGGATCAGACCCTTTATTCTGAAATCTGTATCAACTGTGATAATTTAAAACTTTAATTAAAGACTCAGTGACAGCTTATCTATGAAACGTCTTTCTGCTGCCCAGTATTTCATCATGAATGTCTCCAGAAGCCCAAGTTAAAGTGAGTAACACACGTGCCAGGAAGTATTTCACTGCGGACACGTAAGCTTTTATCTGTCTTGTTGTGTAACTAATTCTTTTGTTGAGGGTTGGTGGCATCAAAAATTAAATTAAAAGCTACGTCAGACCCCCGAACAAAAATTTATAATGCTTATTTGGTTCATCCCTCAAGAAAATGAAAATGCCAAGGCAAAGTCTAATATTTTAGCAATTGCGTTAATGTATGTGTAAATGGGTGAAGGCGCCTTTGAAATGCTCTGAGAAGAATTTCACACTTCAGAGAGGGGGAAAAGTTAACAATTCTATTGCGGCATTTATTGGATTTTTAAAATTAATTTCTCTGACACAGCTGTGCCATAAAATCCCCCACAATGATGAATTTTTGCTAATGCTGAGATTATTTTTGGAAACAATTCTGAAGGAGCACTTTGTAAAATCAGGAGAGCAGAGGCCCGCGGGAGCCTCGGGTTGCCCTTTGCTTGCCTTCCCTCACCTCTTGCCTTCCCCCAAGCAGCGAAGATTTGTTTAATTTGAAATTGCATCTGGCTGCTTCTTCCACGGAGCAGAGAAATTGCAGAAGACGCCGCAGTGCCACGTAGCTCTATGAAGCTGAGCCCCACAGAGCAGCGGGCAAAGATCACCAACACGAACGGGGAGGAGGGACCACCCGAGGGCTGGAGAACATCTTGGCTCCCTCCCAGAAAGGGCAGAGTGCGGAGCTGGCTCCAAACAAATCGTTCTAGGCATGGGGAAATGCAGTCAGTTTTTGCCCTTTGTGCACACCATTTCCCACTATCTGTAGACCTCAGTGAAGATGAGGAGCTCATACGATCTGGACAACAGGTTAGGCCTGATTAAAAGACTTGGGGATGCCCCCTCCATCTTTTCCAGACCTCACCAAAAGGTTGAAGGAGCCCTCAAGAACTGGGTGTGAAAAAGGCCTTTAACATCCCCATGTCCAGAAATACCGTGACTTGGGCCCTCACTCCCTCCAAAAGCAAGGCAGAGCCTGTCACCCTGGAGAGAAGCCTTGGGGTGCGATAAGCAGTGAGAGATGGGTCACGAAACATGACTCCAGCTGGGGGACAGGCGTATTTCAGCGTGTGGTACCACACACAGCCTGGGGAGAGGCAGCCGTTGTCTCCATCGGCGCAGGTCTCACACCGGTTACCATTAAGTCCACAGCTCAAGGGCTGCAATGGCAGCGGCAGGCGGTCTTCACAAGCGCGCAAAGATTTGGAAATGAAGAGTTAAAGGTGAGGTGAGAAGGCTCAGGGACGTAAAGGCGACACCACTGAAGCGGGTCTAGCCCTCCATGGAGCTGGACTGGGGCCTCCTGGGGCATTTTTGCCGGGCAAGGCTTCACCGCGCTGGCTTTGGCGTGAAGCAGAGCGGATAGATGTTCTCCCTGAGCGGCACGGAACCCCGCGGGGCAGGAGGGATAGCATGGACCGCCGCAGTCATCGGCTTGATTTTAACAATTACAGGCACATTTTAGATCACTTAGAGGACAGAGTTAACATTAGCTGACACACTTTTGTCTGGGGAAGTCACAATGACTAGGAATAACAACTCGGGGCCATAATTTTGTGGTCTGTCACTACCAGGAAACATAAAATCCAGTGACCTTTCATCTCTGAAACAGAAATGCTGCACAGCACCTGGAGCCATCACCCTTAAAATTTACTCTGACAAATTGGATCATGGGACATAAGGGGAAAAAAATACTCTCCCTCCCCTACCCCCAAATTTTAGCCTCCCAGTGAACTCTGCCTACTCTACACGTAATGAGGTATCACTTGCCTGGCGGAACAAGAAGCCCAAGCTACACTGCGTTTAGGAAAGCACAAGATAACAATTCCATTTCTCTTGACAATAAGGAATAAATCTCCAAAGCCACTTGTCCAGACTCTTCTTAAATGATGGTAGAGGACGAGAATTGATATTGGCTTTTTATGAATCTTCAGGTCAGGTATGTTAGAATCAACAGATTTTTGCATTAACCTCACTGCTTCATAGCACTTTTGCCCTTGGCAAGACATAATTAAGGAAGGCACAGAAATCTATCTGAATGCATCGAGAGGAAATTATTCTCCACTTAATGGCAGCAACAACTAAGCGAGCAGACAAGCTACCCTGCTAGCAAAGCACCACAAATGATTCAGGGCCCTCTTTCAAACCAAAGCAACCGCGTTCTTCACCATTTTCCTCATTTTTAGACTTTTCAAAGGAGGATTTGCACTACGTGTTGCCCTGAGGAGTAACACTATTTTATTCCACAGCTGTATCCCTAGAGCTCTTCTGGCTGCCAGTCCAAAATGCTGACCACATGGGTCAAGACTAAGCTAAACCTTTTCATCATAGCAAGACTTTGCACTGCAACAGTCTGCACTGCTTTGGCAGAAGGCAAAAGCTACTGCGCGGAAGGGGAGAAAAAAACCCCCAAACAAACAAACAAAAAAATCACCCCAACAAATTTAAGAAAAAAAAGGAGAATTTGCCTGGTGAAACAGGCCTGCTAGATACTGTTATCTTCAGGATTTGTGAAATGGATCTTTAATTGACTGGCTGTAGTGGAGAACCAAAAGATACAATCATGATCTCCAGATGACTAGACAGGTTAAAGTCCTGGGTTCCTCATTTATTAGGATGCGTCTGAGAGACTTGCAGAGGAATAAGACACAGCAATGTCTTATGTTCTTTTGCCTGCATGGAGCTCCTGACGTGTGAGAAGGCAGCGAGCGGGGAGCGCAGCGGCAGAGCCGTGCCCAAGAGGAACAGTCACACTCGCTCCTCGCGTTCCCTGCGTCAGCGGAGGCTGCTCCAGCACCTCCAGCCTATCTTGGCGCTTACCTATTTCTATCACTTTGGTGCCTTTCCCTTAGTTGAGTGTTTTATTTGTGAAGGCTAAAGACAAAATTTCAAGTCCTGGTCCGATCCTGGCCAGCTAACCCAGCAGCTCCGTGCCCAGCTGGAGGTCACCGTTATCCCCACGGCAGTCGCAGACACGGAGACCCGGGCAGCGCTCCTCAAGCCACACAACACTCCTCCCGCACCACCTCCACCCAGCCACGCTCAAGGTATGAGGATTAAGCTAAGCACCGCGCATGCAATAGGAAAGCAAAGGCCAACACGGGCCGTGTCCGTCCTGTTCCACACGAGCCTACGCTGACGCGAGGGCCACCAGGACAGCGGGTGCTGTGGCTCCGGCCTGGCCGGGTGCCTCGCAGCGTCCTGCGTGGAGCAGAGAGGGCACCTGGCAGCTCAGAGGGTGACATGCAGAGATGGTGCGTGGAGCGGGCTAAAGTGCCTTTTCTTGGAAGTGCAACCAAAAAGGAACCACCTGCTGAGATGTCCTATGAACTTTTTTTCTGCTTTTCAGTGGAAGCATAAAAACCTTAGAAGTATTTTTGATTAAAAAACAGAGTTTAAAATAAACCTCTGCATTTCAAGTAACATTTTTGCTGTAATTATACAGACTTGAGAAATTTGCCAATTTTTCTGGTGAAAATATTTTGGATTTAAAACTGTTTGCTTTTTCTGTTTTAAAGAGCAGAAAATATGTTGAAAATGTTATTTCTCTGTAAACATTTTCATTTTGGAACCAGAAGCAACCATTACTCTCTTATCCAGCAGCAGGGATGTATGTAAGAGGACACACATATGGATAGGGCAGTCTAAACATGTGAAGATGAGTCTAGGCAGCCATTTCTTACATGCCAAGAAAGCTGTGAAGAGGTTTATGTGAACCTAGCTCACCTCTGAGCTTGTTTTAATTTGTTCACAGGCCTCTATTAAGCAAAAGGTGTGCTTTTCCAGAGAAATGTGCTTTGGGGCTGCATTACAATTTGAACCATTGAGATTTTTGCGGGAATAGATTTATTTTCCAAAGGTATTCCTAAACCTGACTCGAATCCATGAACTGGTATCAGCAGGACAGTGAGAGCCAATGCTACACACATCAACTCCAGCATGTAACTTATGGTGCTATGGGCTTGGCCAGTGTCTTACTGGCCTCAGTGGGGTTTTGCTGTTGATTTTGAAGAGCTCTCCAGCGCCCTTTCACAAAGAATCTTTATGGTTGGAAAAGACCTTTGAGATCTTCAAGTCCAACTGTAAACTCATCACCACCATGCTTACTAAACCATGTTCCTAAGCGCCTCATATATAACCATCACTTTATTAATTTAGGGACAAAGACTCTGTTTTATTATATGCCTGATTTTGTGTGAGACTACTTACAGGAACAAAGCAAAGACATGAAAGGGCCATCATCAGTGTCAGGACCTGCTCCTATAAACCCTGACCGACTCAAGTTAGTGACCCCATCAACTCCAATGGGAGGACACAAGCCAGGAAGGGCAGCCTTAATTTTCACAGTTGCCAGCTTGCAACTGCAGCCCACGTGCAAGGAGAAGGAACAGCCCCAATGCCAGTCCATGCCAACAGAAGCAAATTTCCTGGCAATTCATGGGTAACAACATTTCAGTAAAATGTTTCCTTTACAACCCTTTGTTAAAGCCAATACAGTACTTTCTTACCATTTTTGCAGACAGGACAACACTGTTCTGGTTCATAGACTGGGTTGACACATTCGGGAACTGCGCAGTCTGCTACAACACAGTGAACTTCATTGCTGGGCTCACAGCGACACCATTCGCATGGCGAGGGCTAGGAACAAATCTAAAATTAGCCCATTTCCTCCCGTAGCTTGCAAGTTTGCAACATTTCTATCTTGCCATAAGATAAACACATGAGCGTTTAGTACCTCTTGACTTCATTCATTCATCATGGGTAATACAAATTAACCTATAGGAAAACATAGCAACATCCCAATTAGGCAACCAGAACATTAGACAAACCAATGATCATGATATTTGTTTTCCCAGAGTAGGGGTGGGTTTTTTTAGCTCTTGTCATACTTTAGCTTCTTTGGGTAGAAAGACTGAGCTGAGTTGCTAGGTCTTAGGCAGGCCCAGGGTTGACATGGTGGCACCTGTGCACCAGATCCTTCACCTCTACCCATCTCTTGTAACCTTACACACTTGGCCAGGAAGAGAGCTGAATTCCTGGGAGATTGAAAGGGATGGACAGAGAAGGACAGAGTGATTTTCCAGCATTCACTCATATCACACATAGACCACCAGGGGCAGGGAATCCACAACTGTTGGGAAGGTGCTGCTGGGTCGCCACCAGTCTCTCGGAGGGGTTCCTTGGAGGGGCATCCAACACTTTCCAGAGTGGAGGATAACAGTGCTCTTCTTGGAGGGGCAGCAACACTTTATTCTGCATTTGGGTAGCACTTGCAGTGTGGGGCCAGTAAAGCATCCCCCTTATTATAACCCTTAGATCTGGCCATGACCCCACTCATGGTGGTCTGGGAGCAAGTGCCTCACACTGAACATGTGAATAATCAAGGATACAAAAAATTCCACTGAAAGCAGGGAGTTTGGGCTTCAAGTACCCAGATGAACAGTTCCACATCAGGTCTGCCAATTTAAACGGGAGTCTCGATCTACCTGTAAATAGTAGCGAGTTGTCTCTGTTTTGCTTTCTAAGAAGCTGTGGAAATCTTCTAACAAGTGAGAGGGGTGAGTCTTAAGGTCCCCAGTATCCTTATAGGTGTGTGAGTGTGATGACAGCATGGCAACGGAGCAAAGAAATGGCAAAAAAAGAAGACTCTGAAAGGAAAGCAACTTCCTTTCAGTACCTGTTGGTTTGATGCATAACCCTTAACTCCTCTGCAGCAGTAGCTCCCATCACCAGCATGTGAACTAATACCAGGTGGGTCCTGGGCTGAATTCTGCTTTCTTTTGTAGCAGAAATCTGCAGCAATGGGAATTCCCCCATAGTCCAAAAAAATATAAAAAAAAGAAAAGCAAATGAAAGGAGGACTTGTCTCCTTGTATTTCAGACCTCAGTGATGCTGTTCACTTCTACAAGGCAGATACAACTCCCAGAGCCCTGTTTTGGATAGTAAAAAAGCTTTTTGGGTTACCTCTAAGAAGCTCCATATGTCTCAAGTCAAATAATTTATTCCTTGGAAATTCATTTCTACCTTAAAATGCACTAATTAAAGCTTCCCTTACTTTGTCTCAGCACCCGCAGTCTATAATTCCCATCACCTCTCCTTTGCTCACAGCTTTGGCAATTTAGATAAAATCAGCACTCCTTGAGCAAGGAAAAAAGTCTGTGGAGGTGGAATCCCTCTCACTAATTACCTTTCCTCGTTCAATCCTGCTTTGATTTCTGTCTGAGCACCCACTAAATTCATTTGACTGACATTTCTTATTCAAGGCTACTTAATAAGAAGAAACAATACAGAGGAAAATAGACAGAACTATTTGCCAAGGGATCAATAAGAAAATTGCTCCTTTGTTTTTCCTCATTTCAATCGCTAATTATACAGAATGGTAGAACTAGATCTTATGATACGTGGCGGATTCACTGCCACATCCTTCAGGACTTTCCTCCCTCCGCTGCTCCCGTGGCTGCAGCGCTAAGGAGGGTTTCCAGCAGCCCAAGCTGCTGCTTGGAGAACGTCAGCGGCTGCGGGAGACGCCCCTCAACGCCCGTGCGAGTCAACAAGACGTGACAGACACATCTTCCGCTTTTGTGTTGTTAGTGTAACGCTGACAGTAACACCGTAACTAACCACGATGCCGCCTGACACGGAGAGCAGCTTTCCAGGAGCGAGGAAGTGCACGCGGCTCCGAGAAGGAAAGGCTTCAGCTGCGTGGCCAACGAGCAGATGGAAAGGCTGCTCCGGCACTAACGAAGGGCCTTTTCTCAGCCCTCCCCATCCCAGGCAGTGCAAATGGCACGGCCTTGCCTCCAGGACTTCCCTTTAGCCTACCTACCGTTGTGTTCCTTTGCCCGTGCCTCCTCCTGCCCTCCATCCCAACGAGTGGCGCCCACCTTCTTGCTCACTCATCTTAGGGATGTCACGACACCTTCTCCTGGCGGATGTGCTCTGGAGGGTGATGTGCAAAACCCTGACCCTTCCAGGAAGGACTTTGCCCTGAGTGTGCTGAAACCATCAAACAGCTTTTCACTGCTGTCCGTGGGCTCTGCAGCCCAGCTGTGAACCTCTCCTGGAGCTTTACTCCTTGTGGGACAACGATGGATGTTGGCCAATAAGATCCATCTTCCCACCATGCTTCCACCTACCCCATTTGTTCTCAGTTTTCTCCAGATCACAGCAGTCACCCTTCAGCGGTCAGCAGCGTTCCCGCACTCACGCGTTGCTGCTGTGTTTGATTCTCACCCAAATACTTTGCAAATACTGCTCAGGACTAGCAGCCTTTTACAGGATCTGCTATGCACCTTCGTCAACTTTCCAGAATCCAGATTTCAAGATTTCTCACTCCTGGAATAGGAGGATAGTTTAAATTTTTGTAGCCACTGAGGTTCAAATACATTAAGGGTAGTTCCCAGAAAAAAACCCTCCCATCCCTAGTGAAAAAAGCTGAAAAAATACACAGCGTTTCTCGAGTATGAAGGAGACACAAATCAGAGGTTATGCCACTCTCATACAGACAGTGCAAACAGCTGATATTCTAAAAAAATATGTAAAGATTAAAGGAGCATAAAAGGCCTGGGCCAGAAGATGATTTATTCACTCTGCCTGTGCAAGGCAGAATAATCTCTTAGAAGACTCTCTAGGGAAGGATTTTTTGGGAAGGATTTCAAGACATATTGGTGCTTAAACTTTCTTTGCACTGTTGTCCAAAATGAAGGCTCATGGTACACAGCCATAACATACACTCCCACACAGTAGCTGCATGATTCATCTCTTATTTTTCAAGGTATGTTTTGATAAATAGTCCTATCATTAATAAAAGGAGTGAACTTCTGTAGAAAGTAATAGTAGGCTGTTTTGAATGGGGAAAATTCATACAAAGCACTGAAATTCCTGTCCCCCGATGCTCACGTCTGGGCGTGAGGACCCAACCCCTCAGGAGAAGGGATGAGGAAATACGTTCCCAGATGTCCTGGTCAGCACGAAGACTAAGTCTAGCCAAGTAGGTGGGTGACCAAGACCTGATCACCATTCAGCGACTTCTGAGCTGATTAACTGGGGAACGGAATAAAAATGACCTTCTCAGTCCCAGCACTCACCCTGTTCCACCTCCTCTACTCCCAGTCACTTCAAGGGCACCAAAGGGATGCGGATCCTAGACACTCCTGCTTACACGCCACATGTCAGATGATGACCCAACCTCTGTTTCAACTTGTGGGCTTTTGATCTCAAGGTGGTTTGTGACCTGGGGTTGGGGAGCTGTTGGCAAGGATGTCAGTTCCTGCTTCTCCTGGGAGTGGCTCTGCCCTGCACACAGCAGAGGCAGTGGGAAGAAGCCAGAGCTCATCCAGTTTGTAATGGAAAAACTTAGTCTCAGGTGTTATCAAATGGGAAACATCTGCAGCCAACGGAGTTCATTAAAAAGGAAAGAAAGAAGGAAGGAAAATTAAAACAGAGAATAGAGAATACTCATGGCTAATAAAGATTTTATGTGCACAAGCACATAATGATAAAGTTGATAGATGATGTAAACAAACAAAAAAGGAAACAAAGGAAACAGAACGAGAAACAAAACACTCCCCGAGCAGGGAAACCAGGAAGCCAAATCAGATGTGGCTGCTGTGGCTCCTCATACTTACTCCCTGTCATTTCCACACGCTCTTTGGGAGTAAATGCCAATGTATATAGGGATTATGCCCGCTAACTGGCCACCCAGCTGCTCCTCTTGGTGGGTAAGAGGCCCCCTCTCTCCTAAGGACCTGGGCACCACGTGGGTTCTTCTCAGTCAGCCCCCAGTTTTCATAAAACACCCCAAAATTTCATCCCCATAAGAGTTCTGTTCTTGAGGGCTCTAGCAGGCCCTTGAGTTGTCTGAAAGAACTGGCAGGCAGACCGACTGCATGACCAAAGATTCCTTCAGGAAAGCAGCCTGAAATACTAATCCTTCCCAAAGTTGGAGGTGTACAAATAAAGTAGAAAACAGAATTCAAACCTCCATGTCTAAATCACTTTTCTCATACTTTTCCACAGCTAAAGAGATCTGAATTAAGTAGTTTCTCAACAGAGGAGGCAATTATAAGAATAACCTACCAGACAAGGAGGAAGCAATCACAAGAATAACCTTTCCCTCAAAACTTCCAAGCATTCAGTTAAGATTTTGCAAGGAACATCTACAAGACCTGTGCCTTACTGCATCTGAGACATGCAGGCTAGTCATAGAGTGTCTTGTCCCAAACACTTACAGACTCCATCTGTATTTCAGAAATTGTTCATGCCGTGTCCACAGCAAGAGCATCCCAAGCCACCTCTCTACTCCCTCAAACACACCAAGGATTTTTCTTTAACATGGAGATTGCCCTGCGAATGCTTATTGCTTCAGGTCTCCATGTCAATTAATCTCAGGTTCTTCTGCAGAAATTCCTGTAGAGAGGTAGACAGCTATTTCCCCACAAGACAAATGAACAACCTTAACGATGACATGTGATGGATGCTTTCTCTGTGCTTGTTTGTTCTGTCATTCAGTGGCAATCTCCCTCAGATATATATTTTTTTCATTCTGTTATCTGTAACATCTTCCAGGCTACTTGGACCCGTCAGGTTCCCAAGAACACTCGTTTCAGTCCCATGTCTGGGCTGCCACCCACCTCAG